GTTTTGTTTTTACTGTTTGATGGGACTACAGATGTAAATTAGCCTTAGGCTAAATCTGGTGCAATGCATCAAATTATGTTTTAACTGTACATTGTCCCACATAAATGAATCAATTAAAAATAAATAAATAAATTCCTAACAATTTAGACAATGAAGTTCAAGTTCACATTTGTCACAACAGAAATGTTAAGCCTATCACTAAAGCAAATTTCAATAAAACAATGAAACTTCAACAGACTTTATTTTCCCATTTGGCAAGCAATGAATCATCAACAGCTGCTTCAAGTGATATTTAGAACAAAAACAGACCCAAAGAAATGGTTGATGTCAGTGGCAATAGCTAAGGAATTATACACATTCACATAACCATTTAAACATCACAGCTCCAGTTCTCATTTGTGACATGGATTGTCTTTGCATTGATTTTTATGACATTCTAAACGTTGTGCTTTGCTACATATTTAAAAAAAATTTGAGCTTGATTTTATTTTACGATTACATTCACTTCATATTCAAGAAAATATATGAGGTGCACCAACATCAGGACAGATGTTTCAGTAGATCAGGAAGTCCTTTCACACAGAAATATACATTTTATTATTGTGTCTGTTAAACAAGATTCAAACATTAAATCCTTACAACTGGAAGATTGTGTTGTAAGAACTTATTTGTTATCAGTGCACAGCTGAAAACCTCTCAGACAGGTTAGGAAAAAGGCACTTGAAGTCGTATTAAAGAGATAAAAGGAAATATTTATATCTACTTTTTGTCATAAATAAAATCCCAGCTTTGTTTATTGTTTGTGATCAAATGTTGCATTCAAAGTTTGTTTTTTTGTGAACACAGAAGGTGCAAATACAGAAAAGCAGCATCACAAAAAACCCTGATGTTTGCAGAACAAAAGGTCACATTTGAGAAAGTTGTCATGACTTTTAAMGGGGTGGGGTTAAAAATTAACCCAGAGAGGTCACAAGAGACGGACAGCTAATTTAGATTTTTTAAGCCCCTTTACGTCCAATACAAAAATAATTTGTAATCCAAAATCTGTAACGTGTACAAATTATGGCAGCACAATATATATAAAATTGATCAATGTTGCAAAATCACACAAAAAAAAAAATCACCTCTATCTCACAAATTGCCAAAAATATACATTTTTCAGAATTAAATAGACCAAGTGTTGGGAGCTTCYCAATGACAGAAAATACAAGTTTATCTGGTTATTACTGCAATTTTTACATATTTTCCTAAGACTGAGCAATTTATTTTAACAGCTGATGTACAAACACCAGTGTTTTAAGTATTAGGAAAATATTCAATCCCTTTAGATTAAACC